AGAATGTTGCCAGAATATTTGCAGTAAGTTATATTTTATTGAATGTCAATGTAATGTTATATTAATGTCCGATATTATAGAGTAGCAATGTTAATATTACTAAAATATTGGGGTAACCCGGAAAAAAAAAATTCAGATAAAAGCCAGATATGAATTTTGTCAAAATCTGATCAGATATAATCAGATATAATTCAGATATGATTCAGATCTATCTATATATAATTATATATATAATTATATATAACTATATATGGACAGATCTGAATCATATCTGAATTATATCTGATTATATCTAATCAGATCTTGACAAAATCCATATCTGGCTTTTATCTGAATTTTTTTTCCCGGGAACGTAGCAAAATAGTTACATTTTTGTAATAGCAATATCATATTGCAGTAATGTACCAAATGTATGTATGAAAATTTAACGTGAAAGCAACATGTTGTACTATATTGATGTAACATTGCCTGCTAAGATTGTATTGATTTTGAATTGATTTTGAATATATAAATATAATATTTTCATATAATGAAATTTATGCGCATATTATTCGAGGATGCGCAGAGAAGACACATACGAAGATCGAAATATGCACAACAAATATATATAATAAAATAAATATATATATAATTACAACATTTGTTCATACTGACTAAATATTTATCCACATAGCACGTAATATTACATTATATCACAGTAATATTTCCGTAATATTGTAACATCGCAAAAATATTACGGAAATATTACTGTGATATTATATATATTACGTGTTATGTGGGTAGTTATATTCACCAAACAATTTAGTTGAACATATTATTGAATTAAATCTTAGTTACTATGATTAACGTTTTTCAGCGTGGCATTATATGTTTAATACATATATGTTTATATATGGAAAGTATTATATGTTCCCTTATAGAAATATCATACTAAGAATCATTGAATTACTTATTATCCATTACTTATTTTTAATACTAAAAATAAGTAATTATCAACGATTCTTAGTATGATATTTCTATAAGGGTTCTTCATGATTTTGTTCCTCTTTCTTATATTTTATCATAATTTTCAATAAAAATGAAATATATAAAGGATATACATTTTCTTTTCCTTTCTTTTAATATTATCCTGACATTTTATGATATTACAAATAATATTATTTCCAGCACAAAGCAACATTAAATGTAATATTGACCAACCTTGTATTAATATTTGGTTGCATCATTTCTTTAATGTTCCGGAAAGTAATATTTTAAGATCAGAATAATATTCTTCTCACGTTTACAAATGTTACTCAAATATTTTCCCAAATGTTACTCAAATATTTTCCCTCATATTTAATATTGCTTTAATATTTTTATGCTATGTGGGTAACGATAGAAATTCTATCACTATCTATTGTATTCTATTGTATACGATAAAATACTATTCACATTTTGTAAATTCACGGACCAAAATCCATATTCAAAACGATAGAAAATGATTATTTTATTCTATCATTCTCTATAAACTTTTTTTACTAGGGTTGTCTCTATATTCGTTCTCTAAATCTCTTTTTTTTAGCTAAACTGTCTGAACTGGTGCACATCGGTACAACAAGTTAGAGTGAGACAAATATATTTTGTTTTGCTCTAACTTATTGCACCAGTTTAGACAGTTCAGCTAAAAAGAACGTTTAAGTTCTGTCAATGTACACTAGTTTCTAGACCTATTGACTTATTTAAAGCCAACTTATTGACTAACAACTTATTGATCAACAACTTACAATAAATCCAACTATAGACTATCCAACGATAGTCGGAATTTATGAATTAAAAAAATTAGTTAAAGTTTCTCGATGACCTGTGACACTTACCATATTTACTGATAAGATGAAGAAATTCAGAAGTAAATAGACTGATCGAATCGCAGAAAAACGCAGGAATTTCTTATATATGTTATATATGATTATATATGTAATATATATGGTTGTTTGTCTCAGGAGTCTCAGTTACTAATTAAGAAGAGAAATTATTTGGAAATTTATGAAAATGAAACACTTGAAGTTGAGTTTCTCAATATTCAAAGCAAAATTTCTGAAAAATTCTTGAGAAACCACTCGTGCCACCAGCTTAACCAGATGTTAACGGTTTTGACTTCTTTTTTCAGATTTGAAAAGAAGAACGCAAGATTATTTGTTGTATAGTTCGCACGAGACACGTTTCACCGTGAACGAGCTTTCGCGACTAAACCAGACTAAACCACTTTACCATATGGTTCGAAGCTTAATATAAGTGTGACAGGCTCAAAGACAGGCGAATTGACGTTATGTCGTAATTATTTTTTTTCGATCTCATCGCTGACACGTGATGCGAAACGACCAATCACTGATCTTATGTAAATTCTGATATTATCACGGTGTTATTCTGATGTTATCACAATTTACATACATGAATTAATTTATAATAACATGTGTAATGTATGATAACAGTTTGTGTAATGAAGAATCAAATGTTTTGTTTGGGAAGGGAAAGCTGAAGCTACGATGACACTTTCTATCGACTTACTTTCCAAGATTCTTTCTTTCTTTCAATATTAAAAAGTTAAAAACAAAGAGAAATAAAATTTACTTATTGTTATCGCTGATAAAATTTTTGCAGACTTTTATCTTCTAAATTGTATTATTGATTACTGATTTCACCAGTAATGATTAAGTTATTTATATATATACATTAATATATATACATATATACACATATATATATATATATATATATATATATATATATATATTTATTTATTTATTTATTTATTTATTTATTGAATATATATACATTATAAAATTTCAAAGTTTAACGTATTTATTGTGATTATAAGTATAAAAATCTTGAATCTTATTGTGTAATGAGATTTGAAGTATACCGCAGGTTCTAAAATTTTAATTCAGTAAAATAGAAAGTTTGAGAGTACGCGTTGTGTGTGACTAAACAATTATTTTTCCAAATAATTTCTCTTCTTAATCAGTAGCTGAGACTCCTGAAACAAACAACCATATATATAACATATATAAGAAATTTCTCCGTTTTTTTGCGATTTGATCAGTTTATTTGGTTCCGAATTTCTTCATCTTATCAGTAAGTATAGTAAATGCCACAGGTCATCGAGAAACTTCAACTAATTTTTTTAACTCATAAATTCCGACTATCTTTTGATATTTGGAATTTATCGTGAGTTGTTAATGTCAATAAGTTATTTTTTATTTTGCATATTTTTACAGCGTAGTACGTGTAGAAACAGATGGAAATTAAAACAACTCAGAATGATAATGTTTCCAGTTGAAAGAATCATCTCAAAAGTCTGTGATCTTAAAAAAGCTCGTGTATGTAACATGGAAATGTCAACAACTATGACGATCCGCCTATAGAATACTTATTCTTTCCTCTCCAGGAATCCTATTAGATACGAGGAAATTATTTCGATATATTGTGTGATGAGAAAATTGTACCTCCTGGAAAGTACCGTCGTAAAAGAATATAGTAACAATAGATTACGAGAATATTTCCTCATAAAGGAAATGTTGCAAAATTATCATTTTGTAATATTCTCAGTATCATTCCTAAACAGTACAGATTTTCACAGGACATCCTAAAGACATTCTGAGAACGTCCCTACGTCCTAAGAACATTCTCAGGACATTCTCTGGAGACCTTGTACTGTCTGAATTTCAAGTGATCATTTCCCAGTGAGAAATTACTTACCGATCGACGTCGAAAAGACGTCGAATCGACGTCGAAATCGTCAAATCGACGTCTTTTCGACGTCTATCGGTAAGTCATTTCTCACTGGGTTGCGTGATTAATAGTTTATGAACGACAAAATAGTTTATTTTTCTATTAATGTAATGATAGTATTTATTATCATTGAAGGAATAATTTATGTCAGCATCAATAATAATGATAAATCCTTTATATCATAAGAGAGACAGTGTTGATCTCATGAACGAAGTAAGACGCTATATTAGAAATCTCATCGTGCTAAAAAATCGATTTGAAGTGTTCTTATCGTATATTTATCCAATAAAGTTAGTTTGAAAAGCAAGATTAGATAAAATTATGTGCGAAGTATTTTTACTAGTAACATATATTTTATTGCTATTACTTGAAAAAGTGTAAATTACTGTTATTATTGAGATACATTTCCGTTATCATTATCATGAATAACATTTAAATAATTTTAGCTGTAGTCGATAATCGAGATTTCCTCATTTCCATTTCCATTGAGTGGTTAATCTCGATTTTTTATCATGTATTGGCAGTCGATTATAAAGTCGATTACGTAGTGAAGCGCGCCATTTTCGAATACGCAATAACTTGCGAGTCGATAGAAATGGCGGTTGATCTTCATCAATCTATATGATTCAAGTATTAATCATTACTTGAAAATTGTCTCAAGTAAGATTTTCAGATTTGAATTTAGAGTTAAATGAAATTTTTTAGTTGAGCTACGATTACAGATATAAGTGTCATGTATATTATAATTTTATCGAGATAAACTTGGGTCAAACTCTGAATAAAATTCTGAGTATCTCATATGAGATAAGTTTCAGATGATAATGGGCTCAAATAGCACAGAGAATTAAAAAAAAATTCAGTCATCCCAAGCAGAACAAAGTTATCTTAAAGTATTTCATTTTACTATATAAAATTAGGACAGGATAACTTTATTTTTGGTAAAAAAGTTAAGTTTCTGTTTACTGAAAAGGTTATCTAATGTCCGCCCGAAAGATAACTTTTAATATCCAAAAAGATATCATTTAGATATAGAAGTATCAAGTTGGTACATGGATACAAATTAAATATATACCAAATGATAACTGTAAGATGCGTAAATGAACTAGCTATTAACCAACTGTAAACTGTTATTTAATCGATGTCATATTAATGGAGACGAATTATTGACATTGACTTGTTATCTTATACGTTCCAAATACGATCAGATACGTTCCAAAAGTTAACTTCAAGAACGGTAACCAATAAACAACCTGTTCTACTTTGGATATGTCACCAATTCTAAATTCATTTTTAGGTAAAAAATAATTCTTTTTATTAAACTGAACTCTGAAGAATTCTTTTCGCGTCTGAAAATAAACTCAGAATTGGTGACATACGACTGTAAGAATTCTTTTTGAATTCTCTGTGCTATTTGGAGGCTCTACACCTGGGCAATGTTCAATTTACGACGCGGGATTCTCGATTTCCCGCGTTGGACATATCTGTCCAACGCATACCTGTCCTCTTCATCAGCGCTCATTCAGCGGCTTTTATTTACACGCAGCTTGTGCATACGAACGGGATGGACGTTTGTGCGTAGCGGAGGTATTTATCGCTAAAAGTTTATCGAAAAAGATTTCCGTTTGAAAACTCGGTCCAGACCGCGAACGCCCGCAACGCGACGCAGTGCGGCTACTGGTCGAGACGACGAGGCCACGGAATCTGGCGAAGGATTTAAAAGCTTGCGGGCGTTTTAAATTCCCGATCGGATTTCACAGGTGCGCACGTGGACGTGTATTAGCACGCAATAAAGTGCGCGTCGTGCGACAAGATTTGCGCCAGGCCAGGTTATGTTGCGTTATGTTTATCGTCCGTGGCCAGTGAATGTAACGCGCACAACGATGAAATAAATAGACAACACAATATGACCTTTGGACAATTGTGCGCGCCGACTATTTTCCTCGCTGCGATGCAGCGGTGCATCCGCGTGACGTCGCGATGATTTGTTTTCCGCGCAACGTGATGACGACCTGTCGAGAGGTACAATGATTTTGGTAACAATAATGTTAGATTGACAGAACGTTTGCATGTGAGATTCGTCATGGCAAGTGCGAAAAACGAGGTGAGTCCGTAGATTGCGTCGCAACAGCTCTTATCTGCGTCGTCGATAATCGTATTGGTGCATGCCCGATATTGCACGACATAACCTCTTCTTATGACAACAATATGAATCGGTCAATACGTTGACAACATGTTTTGTACTCTTTATAATTGAATGTCACGGTTTCTTTGTCACCTAAAGCATATGTAATTGCGTGTTTTCTCATGTATACACTGCTCAAAAATGCTATGATATTATGAAGTAATGAAATGACATCTAGCCAAATGATTATTTTTCTTAACTGCAGTTTATTATCTTTGTACACAGGAAAAAACCGTTCTGGAGGCGGAGACAGTTTTCTTATTAATGAAGAAAGGTTTCCCCATCTCTCGCAATGTGAGGGCTCAGTGGTTGTTGGAGCATTTGGACTCTGTGATAAGCATACAGTGTCCAAGTGTAAAGAGTAAAGAGGCGCCAGAACTGGAAATTGTATCGGTGCTGCCAAAAGATAAGCCTACAGTTTGGTCTATAGACACTAGCCATCAATTTCTTTATAAAGTTGTTTCTACAACTTCGATTATATTCCTTGGGCACAAGTACAGGATGGTCTTTAGTTTAGATTTAAGCCCGTCTCTTGCCACTGTTGTGAGTGATACAAAATATGTATAATTTGTTATGAAAAATCATTTTTATGTTAAAGTCCAAGTCAACTTGATGCTTTTTTATAGGATATACAACATGGGGAAATTGTTATCGATGAGGTATGCTTGGCAACAAAGCGGTGTCTGGAAGGTATAACCAGACCAGTGAGTAGCTCTTTGGTACTTTGTGAGTGTACATAAAGAAAAAAGGAAAGAGAAACTTGTTAACTCACTTGTTATTTCTAGTTCACGATACCAGGTAGCAAGCGTGTGATGCAACCTGAGATTTATGTGACTGTGATAGCTCATACGCCATTCTATACAAACCCAGCGCAACAAGTACTGGTGCAAGGCTGGTTGATCACCGCGGACAATGTGAACTCTCTAACACAGTATGTCGAGAAGCAATTGTACTTGTTGGAGGAGAGAGTGGCGACTGTTACTGCCATAGCTAATCAGCAATTAGAACACTTAAGAGCAGAGAGCGAGCGTTTGGTAGGAGGACTTTTCGAGGAGAGCGGTAACTGCTTAAACAAAAGTAGCAGTAGTTGTACAGCAAATATCTCCATGGTTTCGCCAGAAGCCAGTTTTGTAAATATGTTGAGATATGGAATGCTAGCTCTAACACTCTTACCTGAGCATAGCTGCGCACGTGAGTTTGCGACTTATGATTAATATTTAAGGCTCTTGATTTTACTGCTGCAGAGTCTATGATTGATATGGAGTTTAACTCGTTGAAAGCCTATCCAGATAAATTTGCGTAATCACAAATTACATATGCATATGGAAATCAACCATTCATGATTCATGCAATGAAAGGATACCTCTTACATCAGACATACTTTACATTAGATAATATTCTTGTGCATATGAATAATGTGACTATGCAAGTTTATCTAAATAACGAATTAAACTAGGTTATGAAACTGGAAATCTGAATAGTTTAAAAATTAACGTGTTAATGCTATTTATTGACTGTAAAGGGAAAGAGATAGTTCTTGAAGCATTTTACAAGTATGTTCAAGAGAACGATCTGAAATATCCTTTAATTTGAAGATAGCACGCAAAAATTTTTGCCATACGTTTTCTCGCGTCTAGCGTCATCAATCCGCAGCAATGGATTCAAAAGTCTTAATAAATCCATACGTTGTGTGTAACGAACATATAAAACAAGAACAACAGCCCTATGAAGAGCAAAGAGTATAGAGTGATCCAAATTTTCAGACATGGTAATAGTCTCGGACGGTATCGTCGGTGTTAAGGATGTTCATGCGTTGGACTCCATTGTGCAACAACTGCGCGCAACTACGGTTGCATGCAGTTTCTTACACGTGGGCAGCGCATATCATCCGCATTGCGCGGATGGTCTAGTACCATATCAAGATCTGCTGTACTTCATCGCCGCGGCTACGTTGGGTAGTTACATGTCCTTCAATTCGTACGTTGTACGTAGATTTTTAATCTGAACTACTGCACTCGATCGCACACACAATGTTGATCGCAATGGTAATACGCTTTCTTTTGTTCTATATACAGGTATCTGCACAGGGAACAGATATGAATCTTTATCACAGGAACTTTCTGTGCTGGCAATTGTATCGAGATGTGCCCTACGATAGTACGCCGGATAATCATAACTGTTGGCGTACTGAGAACAATTGCTTCGACGGTCATAAGACCGACCAGCTGCTGAGGAAGAAGCAGATCGACGACAAGGTCACTTGCACTTTGAGCAGCTTGTTATGTTGCCGCCTGAGAGAAGGATACCTAATAAAAAGGGCTAGCATACGAGACGACGTTCTTGAAATAAATTTTGTGCTGTTGTGGAAAAGCAACGTTTCCTTGGAATATTTGGTAACGTGCCCATGGTCTGCGAAATCACTGTCTCAATCCAATGTGATACAATATGTTATTACCATAGAAGGTAAGCTTGCAGTTTTTTATGCGAAGTTTGACTGGATATCAACTGTGTTTTTTTTTTCCTTAATTTATAACATATTTAAGATGTCGAATCGCACATAATCACCTGAATTCCTGTGGCTTTAACTGAAGTCCGTTTTTGTTACAGCGCCGTACGAATTTTTACATGACATCACATGCCTGTCAAAGAAGCCATTGAAATCGAATTATCGTCAGGGCGTCGTTTCCTGTTTCTGGGCGGCGTTAACGTCCTTGACCGAAAGCGACAATACATTAGCACACTTTAGTTGGTTCCCAGGATCCGGATGGACTTGGTATAGCGTCCCGGACACTATTAGAAGTGGGATGCCAGTGTTTTATTTGTCGTCTTATCCGTCACTAAGTACAGTGCAACTTAGGTATATTAATTTGTTTGTATTCAGATAATACTGATCAATGCGTATAGGCAAGCTGACTGTGATGAACACAGTTGCTGTCCAAGCTGAGAAGCACAGCGATGACATAATCACATTGACATAATCATATATTCATCGTTTCAGCGACGCCGCCTGCCCGCAGTTTGGGCAAATATGGCAACCAGTCGTCTCTTTGGATCCGCTTCAGTGGGCACGTTGGATGCACACGCAGAGAGTCACATTAATCTTGTCCTACGACAGACCGTTGCCGAGGCATCTTCATCAAGCGAATCAAAGCGGTCGTTTCCAATGCGTCCAGAGTCGACAGGCAGCAGCCGTTTTGTACGCTATGCTGAAAACCTGGGCGACCTTCGTGCTCATCGAGAATCACACATACGTTCAGTTTATATATAGGGAAGCAGAAAAACCACCGGTGTCGTTCTCATTGATCCGTATTAATTGCAAGGCTCTCTGTGTCGTGCTTAACATTGCGTTCGCTGGCGGTACCGAAGGTGTCGTCCGTCATAATGTAGTGGTGGACCTCGTGGACAGATTGTCCAAGTTGACGTTGCCGAACAGACCGACGGAGCAACGAGAGACTCCGTGTTGCACGATAATACACAAATCGCTCGAGAGAATCCTTATAAGATACGAGCGTATACCGAACGATTTGAGCATGGTGGTATTTCCTGACGGCACTCAGCCGACGTGGACCAGGACTGCGTCGGTACTGGGTGGTAGTCTGACCACCACCCTGTCTAGATACTTGTACCACAATCGATGGCTGTGGCATGTGAAGCGGCCGTTCGTGCAGACCATTCCGGGGATCACTTTGCCGAAATTGAACATCACCGCTATCGCGAGAATACTCTCCACGATCACAAAGTATCATCGTGTAACTTTGTTAGCAGCGCGTGAGGCGTCGCGAACGTAATATTAATCTGTTCTCTTTGCAGAATACGTTTAACGGAGGGCTTCAATTTTGCGTATTCGGCAGCCGGCATCACGAACATGGTATTGGAAGTGCAAATGCAGGGCTTCGAGAATAACAAGGAGTCTTATCCGTGTATTATACAGTACATTCTGTTCCCGCCTCACGCCGTGTCGAGCGCAACGTTGGAACGCGACAGTGGTTCCGAGGAAGACACAGAAGAGGGTAAAATATTATCGGTCACGATGCACCATGATCGAATGATGGGATTACTCATACGGGAAATGAACGTGTTTAGGTACTGCCGACGGGGAAGCGAGTACGCAAGAAGACTGCGAGAGTTCTAGCGAGTATCAGATTGTGACAGAAGTCTGGATTGAACCCCAATCCGGCTACGTGCAAATGCCTACGCAACCGACTGCTACATATATGCATCCTCTGCAGTATCATCAGTTGCCAGACGCGGTAAGTATATTCGTGACAATTCCTGATAAAAATTTCAGTGTTATTTATGTTGAGTCATTGATTAACAGAAGAAAATGATAATAGCTATATCGTTTAATACGTTCGTCGGCGTCTCTTTCACACGGATATTAAAAAAATTGGATTTCTTCGATGGTATCTTTTTGACCTATTTGATAATTGTACGTATTTAGTCACGAGAAGTTTCTACCGCCATAGTATCTAGTCAACGTCAAACATAGTTGGGTCTGCTATATAAAACATCCGTGAAGCCTGCTTGAATTGATAAGACACAGTTAATTCCTTGAATACGTCTCAAGAGCGATAAGATATCTCTTTTGGATAGCTCTACGATATATATTTGCGATACGTGATTAATGTGAGGGAAGGCACAATATTTGGAACAATATTAAAAATTATTCTGCCAATCTGAATGTTTGTGTGGCGTCTCATGTCTCCAACAATGTTCGTAATCATAAACAGCATTCTGAGAAAATTCTGTGATGTCACGTATCCTTGCTGCAAGCGAAGTAGCTTATTATTTGACAGTCTTGCTCGTAACTGCTACATTGAATCGACGTGAAAATTTATCGCCTCCGATCCAATTTATAAAATTGATTGATATATAACTTCAGCGACCGTTTTGATCTTGATTTCACAACTTTGTAGAGCATACGAGTAGAACTTTCACGTGTTATTCCTATCCCTCTTATCTTGAGCTAACTTGATAATGCCGCGTGTGGTAACACAAAAATTGTTCCGGCGTACGGTTGTCTAAAGTGCTTTATTTTGTTAGGTACTGAGTCTATCTGGCAGTAAACATCGTTCGGCTGATATCAGCTTCAACTTAGTCTGTTCTCGAAATCGTATCTTGCAATATTTGACGTCTATATGCTCGCCGTCGTAGCGCCCATCCATCTCTTCTTGAAGTTTTCGGCGGAAGACGTGCTCTTTCTCAAATTCCTATCTCCGTTAGGAACAACTCAGAGAGACCTTGTTTGCTTAGCGATACTTAGGTCCAAACGAAACCATTAGTTTCGTAATGCGTAATGCGTCACGCGGTAAGATTCATAACGCCTCTCTAGACATGAACATTTTCGTTGGGAAAAAAAGAAAGAATGTCGGATTGAGTATTTATATCCGAGAACACTGCGCAATAACGTTAGGACAATTCACGTAAATATCCTAAGTGTCGACTTCGAGGCGTAGCGCGCAATGTAGCTTTATCTTCAATCTTATCTTTTGATTGATAGTGACGCTTATAAAATACTCGTATGCACCGTCATTCGTGAAGGACAATTAGGATTAAAAAAGGTGTGCTTTTATATATCGGATAATTTTCTTACGTGTCGATTTACTCAATCACGCTCTTCATAATCACTTTGTGCTTTTTGTTAACTATTAAATGACACATTACCAATGACACATTACCAATCTATATCACGTCACCAGCCACATTTTTAAAGAGTTTGAAAATAATTGCAGACTTTTTCTCTCTTTTCATTATAATTTTTTTTTTAGTTATAATTTTGTCTTTAGATTTGCACAATATATGGAAGATGTTCTGCAAATATGTCCGACAATAAATACACCTACACCGTGCTTCTTCATGGCGCAAAAACATAAGTCCAGCATAAATTTACGTTAACTAGATAACTGTTATCTGATTTACTCGTTACCTGGAGAGCGTCGCTAATCAGAAGATCAAACTTCAAAGTACAACGGACTGATATTTCAAATGAAATTTTATTCCCCGAAAAGAAACTAGCTTTGTCAGTCGGATACGGTTTCCGCTTTACTGTTTGATCAATTTCAATTTTTCTAAAAAACGCACACATCGCTTCCACTTGATCCTTCTCGAATAGTCGATGACGCATGAAAAGCAAATACTCGATTCGTCTCTCTTTCTAACGGAAGATCTGATTCGATCGAACTGTTCTCATCTACTTCAATTTTCTACTTTTTTATTCACCATCCTATCAGATTCGTTCGCGATTCGTTATTCGTTCATTAGCAATCACCGTCGAATCTGCCTAACCCTATCTATATCCATAAGGAGAAGCTAACGGGGAGCAGCGTCTGTCATCGGAAGTCGTTATCGTCACATCGCGAATATCGCAAACATTTGTCTACGCTCAATTCGCAAGGACGACCTGTGGCAGGCGATCTTTCCTGTCATAACATTTATCCATCGCTCGTCTCTCCCGTTGGAAGGATAATAGAAAACATCGCACGAGGAGATCTCGGTGTTGTCTCGTTAGGACTAGTCGTGATTTTAGCGCGCCAATTCTCAGGAAGGTTTCCATCCGACCGTGAGAACTGAGTTGCAGTATCGTCGAACGAAAAACGCCGACCTCTCTCGTTTTCGGCGATGTGGTCGTTCGCGTTTCCTGCGATCAGAGAACGAGTAAGGTGTCTATCATCACATATCGTTATCGTTATCGGGGTGGGGCTTCGGTATCGATGAGGGTCCTCGGAACGAGGTTTTCCTATCAGCCGCCTCAGGTATATATAGGGCCCATTACTCGCCCTGCGCTCACTAGTGGATCGGGATTATCTTTTTCGCGTAATTCTCGAGCGTCGTGTATTCGCTTCGCCGGAGTCGCTTATCACCAGGCTCCCTGGTGACGATCCTTTATCGCGTTGTCGCTCGCAGGTCGGAAGTGATCGTAGTTCTCATCGACCATGTCGTGGCACAGCTACGTTCCGTTCGACGTCGCCGTCGTCCTCGTGTCGTCAAGCTCGTCTCGTTTCAGTGACGGTGAGACAATTCGCGAATTTCGCTCATAGTCTCCTCTACCGAGAAGGTATATACCCCGCCTGGAGTTAACATACAGGCTCGTCCGGCGAAGGGGCTCGGTGCGCGAAAGTCTTCGTTTCCTTATCATCAGGTGACTCCGCACGAAACGAGATTACGACGGAGAGCATCATGGTCGATCGTCTCTGCCGCGGAAAACATCGTCCTCACCGCCGCCTCCACACGCACCTCCTCTCTCACCACGGTTCTTCTCTCGGATTTTCGAAATATCGCGCGACTCTCAGTTGGAAGTGAGGATCTAGGCATTGAGCGGTGTAGCTCTCTCGATTTACTTGCCAGATCTAACTCTTCCAGCTCAGGGTCGCGCGATTCCACGTCGTTCCCGCGTGGGGCACAGTGCTGTTGTTCTCTGGGCGAGCGAGCGAGTCCTCCACGTCTTCTGCCGCGTCTCACCGTGGTTCTGTGCCGCGAGCCAGTGGGTATCACGGTTCAAGTGGAGAAGTGGTCTCTACGCTTTGTATGAAAGTGAGATTCAACTCCTCCAACTTATTCCTGATCCCCGTTAGTCATCGCAGAAGTCGCCAACGACATCGCGCTTCGAATCGGGTGTGCTCGGCCAGTCTTGTGAACATCTATATCCGCCTGCCTGCACGAATTTATCCGTGATTATCCGTTGGCCACCGAAGACTGAGTGCTGTTAACAGATAGACTCTAATCACGAGCTTCGTTCTCTCTCTCTGTCTCTCTCTCTGTCTCTCTCTCTCTCTCTCTCTCTCTCTCTCTTTCTCTCTGTAACTGTAAATTAATACTTAAGTTAAGCTGAATTTAATTTTAGAGCAGAGCGCACGATACTCTCTATTCGATGTTCGGAATTTGCGGTATCTTAGGCTGCTAAGTAGAATTAGATTCAAGTATACGACACCCACGTTGTGTTACCACACCCTCCATACACTGTACTCCCTTTAATATACGAATTTCTCGAAAATGTACAAATGATAAGTTAAATATATTATTTTTGCGATGTGTGTAATAAGTTATTACACGTTCTACACGGAATTCTCTCGGAATGATCATTTCATATTATGTAGGTCGATCTCTCATATGTATACTCTTGTCGCATACAATATTAAAATTAAATCAATGCTCACCAACTTCCTATCTGATGCATTCATTGTCATTTCTGTCCGGCCAGATTGCCCGAGTAGACGAGGAGTGTATTAACGCTTTGATGACCTTAGAATACTTGAGCCTCTTGAGCCAAGTAGTACCGGCCGAAAAGAGCACTGAGATCGTGTTCGGGCAACCGCATCAAGGAATCAGGTATCACAGCGTCACGGACACTACCGCGGAGCGTGCCTTGAAATGTCCCAACCCAGCCGAGTTCTTCGAAACGACGCCGAGGATCCATCCGATGTACTTCTCGTTCGACACTCTGAGCATTTTGCCGAAATGTCAGCAGGCGGAACTCTTGTTCTCGATGTTCGCTAATGGTTAGACTCCTGTTTTCCCAAATGACGTGTAACTGTAGGCAAGGGCTTGCCTCTTAGAATAGGGAATAGGGACGATTAGGGAGAAAACAGTCTTATATATTCTGTCTTGCTTATTTTGTCAGATTCGGTGCATATCGACGAGGATAGAAATAGCGCGAACAAAATTCTCATGGAGAACTTCTTGGAACATATCAAGCAGTTGCACAACAAGGAGCTGCTCTTTACGTCAGCAGAATCGCAGAAGTTCACTAGAATGCTCCTTAACAGGCCACGCGAAAACGGCCCGTTATTGCCTTTCTTTGTGCAAGGAGGTACAATAATTAGATTCTTTAGTCGTAGCGGATCACCGCCGTATGATGAAATTGATCGATGTCTCGCGCTAACGCGTAAATTTTATAGAAATTCCAAATTATACATTGAGTACATCGTGTAACTTACATTTCAGAGAAGAACTATCAGGATGCTATGTCGGATATTTATCCGAGATGGAAGTGTTTTGTTAAAGGGATTAGTACGACACACGTCATTCTCACTATTTTACCAGCCACCGAAAAGGATGTCCGTTTGATAACGTATCCCACTTACGCGGGCGACAATTGCACGAGTAATAATTCGGAGAAGAATTTCGAGTCTGACGTTTTCGATCTCGACATGAACGAGAAGATATTGTCGCCGACTCTATGCGCCAAGGATACGAATATGTCCGACTTCCCGACGTTAGAGCGCAGAGAATCAAAAATCTCTAGTCAATCTACCACCGCAGATAGTACATCGAAGGCTAATGCGGAACAAAATTTCGCTCACGCCGACAATGAGGGCGGCCTCGTTATACCTGTATACGTATACGATTGTTCATTGGCGTTGTTAATTGACACACTAGTCGGCCGGCTGCAAACGCCTCAGAATAAAGACATTTACCAAGATCACACTTTCAAAATTGGGCAGGAGGTTTGCGAGGATTTCATTAATCTCAAGCCTGAAAGCAACACGAAGCCTTCATCCCCCGAGCCAAAAAGCGAAGACTCTGACAATATTTCCAGCGGTAGGAAATGCGTAGAGCTCTTGAAATGTAGCGTTAAGGAAATACGTGAAAAAATAATGCAATTGTCATGTCGCGATATTAATAATTCAACGTTCCTAATATAATTATTTTTTTGCATTAGATCAACGAAGCTTAATGGAGCACTGTAAATTATTGAGCTTAGCGCATTGTCATTGTTACGTGGTCGCGGTTTACAAGTCACTGGCGCTGCAACAGTCCTTGAGCTACGAAGACATGGAAGCTGCTGTGGGGCAGTGCGAGGAAAACTTAATTGAGATTAACATTACGAATTACATACGATCAGTGTGCAGGCATTTGAGCACGTTGCCGAAAGGCAGCCTGCTCGATCAGTTCAAGGTCTCCGCGTGCAACGACGTCAAGCCATTGCATAATTTGATTAAGGATAAATTTAAAAGAATTATGGCGGCCGCGTTTAGACCCGTACCTGCTCATCCAGAATTTTATTACTGTTTGCCATCGTGGGTATCGGACAAAATGGTTTGTTTTTTTATACATAACGCGATCGATAGTTTGCGTCGATTTTGTCAAGTCAAAAATCACGCTGCTTTTAGGAGGTGGTATCGCAAAGGACAGACAGCGATGAATTCACGTTTCACTCTGAAATATTGGATCCAAATATAGATAATTCTCCTAGTCAAGGTAGATAATAACTAAATACATTTGTTACACTTCAAAGATGTGAAAAATCACGCGTATCTTTGTTATTAGTAAATCAAGCCACTAATATCACATGGCCGGCTGTAAATCTTCACAACAGCGGAAAACTGTCTCATCGTGATTCCACGGAATCGCTCATAAGCGATCTTCAAGAGGAAAACACATGGGACAAGGAACACCCGCTTTTCTTGCAGCTAAGCTGTTCGATACATTTTCGTTCCGAGCTCTCTAGTATACCGGTTAAAGTAGTGCCTACTTGCTTCACTGAGATCATCCAGAGGATAAATGATAACAAGAAGAACCTCGCCGAGCAATGTCTGGACGATCTGAAAATTACTCTGGACATCATATGTTTAAACCTTCCAAAAGAAGTGTTAGAGGTGTCGTTAGAACGTTACCCCTCGCTAAGAGCGACGTCTTACTGCAGCGCTTCGCCATTCGGTAGTGTGCGCACTGATAGCGGTAGCAGTCCAACTGCGAACGCGAAGACTGAGCCGATGCAGGAGAGAATGCCGAATCTGCCATTGTATCAACACACCGCAATAATCAGTTTAAAGGATGAGATCGAGTGGTTGTTGCGAGATGAAACTGTGACAGCGCTTTTAGATGATCAGAAGCCGAGCTTGGATACGTTGCGTTTCATAGCACACCATGTGTCGGATTCCACCGGGAGATCCAGCTGTTCGATGGATAAAGTTCCTTTACACTTTGTCTTCTCGTCGGAGAGCAGCACGCCCAAATTTTTGCACGAGTTAAAAAAGCTTCACATCGACAAGTACTGCATCTGTCATGAGGAAAAAACTGATTTATTTTACTTCATCAAGGAGTCGGCAGCGAAAGATGAAGCGAAGCCTGAAACGGAAACGGATGCGTTACACGTGGACGTGGAAGAACCGCAATTAAAAAAAGGTATTTAATTTTGTAGTTCAATTAAAAAAGAAAAAAAATCCGAAACGACTTAAAAGTTTAGTTATTAGGTTCGATTCCTTCTAGACGAAAGTGCTGAAAATCTTGAGCAAGAGGAAATATCAGTTGCTACAATTCAAATAAGCGGACAGGACTCTGGAGATGCGCCAGGTTATTCCTCCGAAATTTCAAGTATAGCTGAAGGGAAACACGGAACGGATGATGGATACGACGGGGATAGCAGTAATTCCGAGGATGACTTCCAATGGTTGATAGAACTTGATAAGCGCAGAGACCGTTTGCCGAATTTCTGGCTAATCCTGACCGTCGAGAACAGCGACGTTAACGTTTACTTTCATTGCAGGTTTGTATTTGCGTTTGTACTTCGCTTATTGTTACCTGTAATAAACAAAAAAATAGCGCAGTTTTATTGCAGATTCTTGGAATTGTCTTCGCCAGAGGTAGATTGTTATTCGCAAATACAAAAAATGCTAATCGTCCAAATCAAAGCTATATGTCGGCGAGTAAATCAATACTTACTTTTACAAAGTCTTCACGATACTCGCATGTGCGATCCGCTGTTGGAGCCAGAATCCAGCGAAGATCATACCTGGAGGGGCGAAATCGGCGGCGAGACCGGTAGTCTCTTTCAAAATCACGCCTCAGCTTCTCCGGGCATGTTCAGATGCCCTGTCATCTGGGAGGAACCATTTAGTCTGCATCCCCGTCTCAAGACTGGACCCGGAAGATCCGGATTGTCGAGAGGGATCACTGCTATGCACGCGGTGCTGAACAGATTGTTCGTTAACAATCGAAACAACATGTTCGTGTATCAGGAAAATAATAAGAATGTCTTTTACCTTCGACTTCATGAGCAAACGAACGACGGGAAATCTTTGCAGAATAAACTGTCCGAGAGCGACGAAAAGTTGGTCGTCTCCCGCAGCAATAGCGTCGCGTCTTTGTCGCGAGCTAAAGGTATAGGTCTAACGAACGATCCCGTAATGTCGGATGACACCCGACCCAGAGTCCGTTCGTTCGGCGAGAAGGAGTCTGATATATTAAACAAAACCGGCGATTCGATCATCCTGATGGTGCACGGGATATCGGAGGCTGGTCCGGCAGTGAAGCGGGATTTGGTGCAAGCGTTACAGAATCGTCTCGACGACGCGGTGTTGGAAGTGCTGTCCGTAATGTTGGCGCGTAATCCGATGTGCAAGCTGACACCGGCAGACGTGCACTTCATACAGAAACCGTACAAGTTTCCCGAATCCATTGTGCAACTGTCCGTGCAGCCATATTGTGTGCCTCACATAGACGCTCTGGGCTATTACTTGAGACAGAATATATTGCAGTTCCTATACACGCCGAAATATACGGATCTTGACATGAATCATCATTTTCAGGATTACTCGCCACTAGATGGCTGGAGGAAGAGAGCCGCCGAGTCGGACATATTTCTGTACAATCAAAGCTATAATTCGAGCGGCAGCAAAGGCATAGCTTGCATCGCGTTGGCTATTATTATTGACAAAGGGGAGCTTACAACGTCTTCGAATGACGGATCGAACAATGAGTTGAGCTTTCCCAAGTTGTCGAGGGTTGAGGATTTTGAGGATATCGTATCAACCATCGTTTACAAGAATAAGGACGGTTCCAAGCCAAATGCGGAGACATTCATCGAATTCCGAATCTGGAAGCAGGGTAGAGTCAATTTGGATGTGCTACTGCAGAAATTGTCGTCTGCTGTGCAACATGGCACTTGGGACTTGATGATGGAGTACAATCTTCTGGCGACGCCTTTGACGGAACCAGAACCCATCAGTTTTCCAGTGATCAAAGAAACTACAGCGGAAAATAAAGAGACGCAGACATCCGTAAAGCCACAGTCGCCGAAAGCTACTGATAATTCGATAATAGATCAGTACGAGCTCGGCGAAGAAGGGAAGTTGAACGAAATATACCACACCACTCTGGCGCAATGGTTTCAGTTCGCCTTGACAAGCACAATGGGTGTACCTGCTGTCAAAAAACACGAAGTAATTATTCATCACAGGCATGCGATCCCCGTGATAGTGAAGGAGCTGCAGAATCTCATACGTTGTCAGGATCCAGATACATCCAGTAGAGCCTTCGTTCTGCAAGATCGGCAACCCTTCCTGAATCAATTCGTTGTTTCTCATAAAGTAGGATCCACTCACAAATGGTCCGAAAATATTCGGAATAAACCAACAGCTAAAGATAATACGAATCGAGAAGGCGCAGATTCACCCGCGTATATACCGCATGATTTTAACAAAGACGAACAAACAAGCTGCACTAAATGTATCTTGGTAGCAAGAAACTTTTATCAGTGGAAGGCGTCTTCGAGTAGGAAGATAGATCCTGAACTGCTTGCTCCTAAGGGTCAGTTTAATCATTTCTTTGATTTGAATCTCACATGTTCTTTTAAATTTTATCATGATTTTATATTACAGATCAGAAACAATTGCAAAAATTTAATCCACTGATATCGGAATCGAATTTCGTGCCTAGACAAAGGATATTGCTGGCTGAAGTGCAAAGCGACAATGTAAGCGATTGTTTCATACATCGATACTGTGAATATTAAATGGTTTCCTTTAATATTGTAAATATTAAGAGGCGCGACTGCAGTTCAAAGGATCGCAAACGTGGCATTGTGTTTTCAGATAATAATATACTTGTACAATTGGTCGAAGGAAAAATCGGAGAAGCTAATGAAACAAGCGACTAGTTTGGGCACGTGGCTCTCGTCCAGGTCCAGCCTGTTCACCAATATAAACATGCAGAAGCTAGGTATATTTCATCACAAATTCACGCGAGACCCGCAGCAGAGGGAACACGGCTCCTCTCAATATTATCAGATCACCGATATGGAGAGTCTCGCGAAATTTCCCAGCCAGTCGAATGCCGACAGCAAGGATTGGACGCGATCGAGTAACCGAGCGCAAGCGATGAAGAGCAACGCGTTCTCATGGACCCAAGTTGTCGGGCAAGCGATGCGTGACGCAAAACCGAGCGCACCGTATCCGCTGAACACAACAGATCCGATCGTAAAAGCTGCTTATGACTTGCAGGACTTGCGACATCGCGAGAAGAGAATCAAAGGTAACTCGGATCGGCAACTAGATGTCATGTGCCTGCATGTGCAAAATAGTCATGTTTTCCTTTATCGGTCACTTGACTGACATATCCCATGGAAATTTGCAGAAGATCTGGAGAAATTGTACGCGATGTGGCAAAGTCGCACTCCCAACATACCGCTATCGTTGAATGCTTCGAACACGTTCAAACAGTACTCCCGTTTGATACACTTCTGTCACACGCCCCTCCTCTTCTTGCCGGCCTGGCGTTTGCAATCGGCCGCCACGAGGGATCACTCCTTGACACCGCCGTCGTCTCTTTTCAGCCTGAATAACAATGCGCAGCAACAGTCGCCGCAAACGACACAGCCGAAGCAGAAGGCGGCCAACACCATCTTGATCAAGTGGCACCAGGAGCTCTGCAAATCGATGTTGACCGAGTATAAACAGTATCTGCAGATCTTGGGCTTTAATCCGATTCAAGTGGAGTCGCCGCATAAAACGTTCGTACAAATTTGTCGTCATTAAGTCACAATTTCATCGAATTTCTCCGCGAATATATCGCGTTTTTTTTTTTGCAGAGACGAGGAACACGCACAGCAGCAGTCTTATTATCTCAAGAAATCAATGCTGGGCGGCGTTTTGCTGTTCGAAATTCACTTGTCGCAACCGTTCTTCATCGTCAAGTTGAGTATCATCGAGTGCAATCGCTTGCAGACGAAAACCAGCAGCGGTATGGTGAATCAGGTGAGATAACTTTGAACTGTCACGCTTCTTCCCATACGTAGGATGAAGTCAACTGACGAAATGAACCTCTCGCAGTTTGTGCTAAGCTTCGTAGACGCTTGCGACAAGATCAAGATCAATATGCACTTGCACTCGTTCACGTACGACTTCCATCTGCGTTGTATTCATTCTTACATCGCTGGGACTGGGCCATGGTCCTTGCAACAGGGTTACCATCTCACTCGTTTCCTGGACGACTTTATCAAGTACTACAGTAAGGCGCCAAATTACGCCAGAAATTTGATATACAGCGGTAAGGTATACTGATTTAAAATTTTCGTAAGTCTATTTTGCTAATGTATGATTCTTTTCGCTTCAGACGTGATAACAGTACACAATATAGCGATACCTGCGCGCACATTATACTCGTATTTACTGTCGCACGACAAACTATACGGCATGCGTGTGATATCCAGCGAGCTTCAGGAATCTCACGACAACGAATACGTCTTAATCAAACTGCAGAGTACCCCGTTAGTTAGCTATTGCGACGCTCAGGACACTCGGTATACCGACGATTTTGACGTGGCGCTGATTGTGTCGCGTGTGGAGCAGCCACCGCAGCTGGAAAAGACCGAGATTACTTTGAAATATTATCTAATGTTGACGAGCAAGAGGGAATTGTATCCGAAGAGGGAGGTGGAGAACAATAAGCTAGGCAAGTTTCGAACGGTGTACAGCGTGGGGAGATCCACGACCAGCTCGTACACGGACAGTCCGGTAGAATCTAGTCCCGTCTCACCGATACCGCCGTTTGTAAGGGGCAATTCCAGGACGGAAATGTGCATCGATCAGCAGACAGACAAAACTCTCGATTTAAACGGTGCGGTTACGAAGGAAACCAGCGAGGCCAAAGACGCCGAGATTAAAGCGGCGAATTATAACGTTTACAACAACTTAGCGCCAACGCCGCCACCGGTCCCGAATTCCCCTCTCGCACAGAGCTCGAGTATCCCGAACACGACGTCGAACATGTCGACATCGTCGCCGCACTTAGTACAGATTCGCCAGGAATCGGTCAATTACCTGGGCTACTACTCGTCGCACGAGCAGCTTATGCAACAGCTGATCATGTCGCAGGCGCAAGCGGCTCACCAACATATAACGAACATGGTGGATCGCGGTGCGTTGCAGTGCAGAACACACTTGCTCTGGGACAAGTTGTTGGAGAACAAATCCACAATGACATACACCGAGTTTAAAGAACTCTGCTCATTGGCCCACATCGAGTCCCTGCCGAATTTGGATCCCAGGCTCCGTCCGCTTGTTAATCAACCTGTCTCTTGGTATCAGGCCTTATCTAAGGTCTTACAAAATAAATATCAGGAGAATCACAAGCAGTTCAACACTTCCGACGGAAATATTACTCATCATCTTATACTGCATCCGAGTCTTTTTCAAGCGTTTATGATGTTGACGATTGATTTGCACACGTCGAGAGGGGTAAGCGCATAGCTAGAAGAGTGAGAGTAATCAGGCGAGACTCCAATTATGTGTTCAATTACAAATTCGTCTGTTTTAGGATTTATGTGCAGTTTATCGAAAATCCAACGAGATCAATGTGCCGGTGAATATCGAAGATGTCTATACTCTGATCGAGGGTTTCGTGAACGCTTGCTGCTTCCATTTGTGGATGGGCCTCTGCAGCCAGTGATAACATTCCGGTTATACGATACGCGATGGCACACTGCTTCTAAAGTTTTTTGACGTACTTATGGATATTTTAATGCGCAGCGTGTCATTCACTCGATTTAGCGAATTACTTCTTATAACGCGCGTTACAATGCACTAGATGTTAATATATTATGAATTATTACACTTGTACGAAAGACTTTGTAAATATGAAATATATATTTTCCTGTTACATACATTAATATTCTCATGTAGTTAATCGAACAATAATTTATTCGGTAATACACAAAATTAAGCTATCTTTAAAGGGAGACTAAAATTGTAACATCGCGTAACATCATCGACGTCTGTCCATCAAGGAAACTGAGAAGTTAGTAATTAAGGACTTCGCAATAACAAAAGAACACAAATGTTCCTATCATTTTTTTTTTTATATATAAGAAATACAACATTCATTTTAATCAGCGATTCCTAATCAATAATTCCCTGACAATTTCGAAAGGAGCTCGATAATTAATTATAACGGTGCCTGTACGTGTTTCGCCAATATTGTCCCGTTCGATGTGTTTATAAAGTAATGTCTGTTCAACTGTAAACTTTATTTCGTTAAATCTCAAAAGAAAGAAAATTACACATGTTTAACATCACATTTCGAATGATTAATATTAAAATGATATTTAATGACCATTACTATTAATTAAGAATTAGTTATAATTATTAATACTAATAGTGTACAACCATACATTTTTTTTTACGGGGAAGGATAGCATTTGTATTGTGAAATCTTTTAGGCTCAACATCTCTCCGCTAATTTTTCTTTCTCTCTCTCGCTCGCTCTCTCATAGTCACTTTCTCCTTCTCTCGTTCTCTTTCGCTCGCACAGGCACTCATCCATTTATGCTTTTGCTGCTTTTTTTTTTTTTCGGTAATTAACCAGGCCACCGTTGCCGTTGCCACCGTTGTATCACTATTCAAACTATCGAACCGGTTAAAACATATCGCTGGTTTTTAAAGTGCAGTATATTACATTCTCTCCGTCCTATATTACTCCTTATGACAAACTAAAGTACCTAACTATTACACTTATGCGTGAATCTTATCCTTATCTTACTCATAAAAACTAATCCTCCTTATCCTTCCTTGTAGGGAATTATCGTTAAGCTCGGTGCTTCTTCCAAGATCCTCAACAAAATAAACCCTAGCTTCGGGTATCATTGAAACGTTATTTTCACGTAATTACATCATAATAATTATAACGTATATACATATTCATGTGTCTATATGTATATATCGAGTTAAAGATTTTCTGTTAGATCTTGAGTGAAGACCAAGCGTGTCGCCAGAATGTCACCGATTGGACTGCATGAACAGGCAATTATACAGGACCGAACTCTCAAAACGTACTGTTAACAGGCAGGACAACACATGTACGATAAACTGCTTATTATATACGACAACAGCGTTTCGCACGAACTTACGCGAATCCGAGTCCTTCGCTATACCGCTCATTTGCCTTTACAAGGGCGTGCCAATGAACTTATGCAAATCCAAATCCTTCGCTGCATTCGTGAATTGCCTTCAGTAGATTTGTTCGCAGTTTATCATACGTTTCGTACACTGGCAAATCCAATTGATTGAAACTGTAATTTGCGAGATGCGTTTCAGTTAGACATCGTCGTACATATTGACTTCGCGCTTAAAAGAAAAAGGAAATCAAAAGTATCCAGATGTATACTTACCAAGTATGGGCAGAAGGAAGCCTGTCCGTTGATCTGTCTTCTCTATGAATTTGGAATTTCTGCACACCGTTCATGCCTTCTAATGCGGCGAAACCTTGTAACGGCACTTTGGACGTACCAGTAACAAATTGCAAGAACTTCGCACGATCCGCTTGATCAAAACCGCGTAATGCACGCCAGAACCATTGAATCTGTAAAAAATAGCAGAATAAACGTTAACTCGACGCATCGTTTCGCATAAAGTCAAATAATATACAAAAAAATATATAAACATACCTGTAGAGACGTAGCACTGTACTTATGATACTCGGTATTTGCTTTAAGATCTTCAATATCTACATTAGGCAAGCCACTGATCAACAGTTCAAGTTCTTGTTCGTTAAATATGGAGATCAGTCGTTTAGGTATAATATCGTAAAAGCCTTCCAAGAATGCGTTCAATCTGCAGAGGAGAGCATCAGAAATATGAGCACGGTGGGGTAATTAAAAAAAAAAATGATAAAGAGCAAAGATTGTGGAATCTTGAATCTACTTACTGTTTACGAATTGCTCCCGTCATCTTCATTTGACACACTAGTCTAATATATTCGAGTTTTGACTCTTCCGTAACAACTATATTACGTCCATTTGTTATTAAATCTCGTACATCGTTGACACCGAATTCATTCACCTGAGAGCAACGAGCGTATATTTTTAATGACATCGGTATGAAGTACAAAACTATCACATTGAGAAATAATCGTCACGTACCTCGGTGGAGAATGTGAGTTCGTATCCCAAATCGGAAATGTTATGTTCCGTAAGATAGACGAGTCCTTTGTAAAAACTATAATCTTCGCTTTCCATGTCTGTATGTCTCACGAGTATGCCAAGTATATGCTTGTAGAAACTACGCGTGAAGTAGCATTCTAATAATTTGTTATCATAAATAGCTTTAGCTGCAAAAAGTAGAACGTTGTTAGAGTCGTCTTTTGCGCTTGGCGTGCACACGTCGTATTCACTGCAGATTGTATCGAGAACTTACCAATTACTCGGCCTACGAACTTATAATAACACAAGTGATTGGGATTACAGTGTGAAGAAGAATTTATCATGTACGTCACTCGGTCGCCAGGACTGACCGTGAACAGAGCGTACATAGGGTTGAAGATCTCCCTCGAGATGATAACGTACCATTCTCTCAATAATCCTCCCGCATCTTGGCCTTCCTCGCCTTTCATCGGAATTAAGGAACAAGCGTTTTACTTAGTATTTGCTGACATTCGTTCGTTCATTCATTCATTCATTCATACAATGTTTACACAGAGTGTCGGAATAAACGTTAGAAGTCTGTACCTTCAAAAACGATGTAGAAGCGATTCTTCCATTCATCGGCGTTCCTTCGATGAAGTTCCCTGAAAGAATCTTCGAATACGTGACTCCTACGAACGTGAACAGCCAATTCCTCCCTGCGAATACCCTCATCCATTCGCTCCAGTTCTGTTCTGAAGTAACGTCTCTTCACGTCGAAATCTAGCACTCTGGTGTGATCCACTAACACAGAGAATGGACCATCCGCCAGATGTGTAGTCGTTTGTCGTAGAATCTGATTCAGTACAGTCCTGTGCGTCTCTGAAGAAGTAAAATACACATTATATTAAATTGTGAATATATATATATATATATAAGAATATACATATATAATTTTTGCTCATCATTACAATTAAGGTACATACCGGCAAATTTGAGGAACTTTAATTGATCCGCGCCTAATGACTTCTTTTCTTGTGGAGCGGGGACAGTGTCCCAGGAAGTATTGTTGGCGGTTTCCGTTTGTGAAGTACCTTCATTATCTGAGTATATCGGTGATACAGGAGCCAACTCCGGTACAACTTCTCGATTCTCGGTGTTTGTGTTTTGACGATCACGAGATGTAGACGAGGAGTGCACCAGGAAAAACGCTTCTACAGCAGGCTGCAATGTTGAATATATGAACACGTGTACAGAGTATATATGAAAAAATAATATTTGCAAATCATATTAAAGTGCAACGAATATATATAAAGTGTAACAAATATATTAGCGATGTAACGATAAAGAATTCTTAGAGGGATAAACATTGTTCTTTACCTGTAAAACGAGGACGGCATGATGATCAGACGTGTACTCTAATTCAAGTAAGCAAGCGCTAAGTGTTTCCCATAAGTTATCTAATACTAAACTCTCACTCAAACCAGGAAGTTTTTCGGCTGTTTTCGGCTGCTCCTCGTCTAAAAATAATCACCGTGAAATTTAATTATAATGATACAACAGTAACAACGATCATCAAGATCTTTGACTTACCGTTGCGAGAGGAAGAGGTCTTTGAGTTGTCAAGATTTGAAGAGTTCGCCTGCGTTGTATCCATAGGAACGTCGACATCCGTATTATCGGCGACTATAACAAATTTGTAATATAAATGATTTTTTCAAGATAAGCGATACAGAAAAAAAGAGGCGAAAGATAAGAGCGTCAATCAATACCTGTCTCTGATGCATTACTCGTTGTGCCTGTGTCCATGGCTGTTTCTGTTGCTTGGTTGGCTTAAAAAGAAAAAAAAAATAAATTTTTATTCATGTTATCCCATATTTAATAATAGACGAGGGAGTTTTAGAAATTCAGCGCGCGACACAAAAGTTATAAGGATATAATTAGTTTATCATACTTGTTTTTTTCGTGCTCGCTAAGCGTACAGCTTCCCTAATTTGCACAATGACTTTAAGTATTCTCAAGAAGAATGCCTGACTAGATGTTTTGCTAACAAGAGCGGCCATCGATGGCAACTGAAGGTCACTTCCGGCTTTAACTTTGCTTGGTGCAGTGACAACTACGTTTTCGTTGGTGAATCTGGAAAAAATCTTTTGTAAGCAAATATACGAACTCTTATAAACGTATATAGATTCGATCGATATGACCTTGTATACTTAATTGCAGGATATATGTTATATAAACGCAAGAATATATGTTACCTATCTAACAGAATTCCTCGGCCACCGTTTCCACCGGTGCTAGTAGATGGCTGATCTTCCAAGGAATTCCTTCGACTCAATTCACGATTCAAAACTTTCAGCTCCATCATCAAATCATTGATATGTTCGCACACCATATTCGCAAGCTCCATTGCACCTTCCAGAAGTAACTTTAATATCTGACGAAACAAAGAGATTAATGTTATTTTCTACTTAATGCGCTTACATTGTGTTAATTTACGTGATATAAAAATGACAAATACCAATTGTCTAGTAGGATCTGGACAATGAGACAAGTTAAGTAGTAACGCTGTCGCATCTTCCAAACCTTCCTCAGAACAACTTTTACTAGTCAAGACCTGTACGGCAAGTTTTAAATGACTTTCGGGTGCAGCGACGCTGTGTTCCTTGCTAATTTCTGTCTTCTTATTCTTCGTGCCTTCTTGCCGCCGATAAGGATTCACTTCCGTCAAGCCGATGGAAATCAAGGACAGAAGGCGCAGCAGTTTG